CGGCAGCTCGGTGCATTCTCAGTGGTGGCGACACGTGAGTCGTGTCAAGCACCGCCAGTGACAAAGAGACCGAAGTGACGGGTCGGGAAGCCCGCGGATGAGGTCACGCCGGAGCCCTCGCGGGCACCCCGGGGAGAGCTGTGCCCAGGCGAGGGTGCCGCGGGCCGGGCCAGCCTTGCCCTTTCCGCACCCGGGCACCGCTGGCGCAGAGCCGGGGGAGGTCGCGGGGACACGCCCAGGGAGGGTTTCGCCGCTTCGCGCCACGGAAGGGTCTGTGGCGTCCATTATTTTTATTTTCTGTAGTTTACATCACGGCTCCTTTTGTTGTTGCTTTAAGTGTGTGCTTTCTTTCCTCAGGTGCAGTCCCCATAGGCTTCCGTCACCAGCTCTATGGTCGCGATGGGCCTTGGGCCTTCCTGCTCCCCGGCCCTGCGGTGTGCGATGCGTGGCCGCCTTCTTGGTTGTTTCCAGACGCCTTGTTTAAGCGCTGATAGTTCAGCAGCCCAGCGTGCGTCTGTCCCGGAGGCCGTGTGCTGCGCGGATAACCCCCGGGGAGAGGGAAAGCCAGTCTTGGACCTCTGTAGTCACTCTTTGCCCACCCGTGAGGCACTGAGTTCCAGACTTTTCCATTGGAACCAGCAGCCCCACTCTTGCGTGTCCAGCCGAAGAATATGAAACCAGCAACTCGGAGGGGCGTGAGGGCAGCACCCCTCAGGGCACATGGACCAGCCGGCAGCACAGCGCTCCCACTCGGGGCGGGACGCAGGGCGCGGGAGGCCCGCTCGACCGTGGGGGGGGACGGAGGCCCCTTCCCGTGGACAGCAGAATGGAAGGAGCTCAGGACTAATGCGCATAAAGGCAGAGTAAGGAGAGGTCTTCACGTGCGGATGGCGCCCAAAGCACAGTCACCTGTTGAAACTAACAGGCAGTAAAGGAAGTGAGACTTGTTTGAGGTCAGGAGGGGGAGGAGGAAGGTTAACGAGTACAAAGGATGATGGTGCGGGAAGAATGATTTAAAAAAAGCCAAAGATCATTTTTTAGAAGATTTATTTGTGCACAGAACTGGGGTACAGGCCAGAGGTGCGGGGGCCCCAGAGCCAGAGCGGGGAGCAGAGCAGGCAAGTGCACTGACACCCACTGCTGAGGGGGCAGCGGGGACACAGGAGGGGTCTGCTGCACACTGGGGTCCCCCCTGGCTGGGGACGGAACTCAGGCCACAGTGGCTGCGATCGGCGTCAGCTGCTGAGCGCTGACCCCGCGCGCCACCAGGGAGGGCCCAGAGGTCACGCTGCTGCCGGGCTGAGTGTGCCTGAGTGCGCGTGCAGGGGGCTGGCGCGACCGGAGGGTGGGTGAGTCCCGGAAAGGACGGACACAGGCGGCTGCGGAGGGGGCTTGTAAGAAATGGTACAGAGTCAACAGGATGTGGCGCTGCCACGTGGGCAGGACCAGAGTGCCGGGGTTTGCGGCCCGGAGAGGCCTGGGCCCAGCGGGGAGGCGCCTCCATCCCCGCACACCACATAACCCTCGCCTCGCCGCCCTGCCCAGAAGCCCACTTCCTGCAAACGGGTGGTGCCCATCATGGCCCGTCATGGCAGGGGGCAGAGGGCCGTGCTCCAGAGTGCAGGAGTGGGGGGGCCGCTCGGGCGAGTTCAAGGGCAGAGAAGGGAGACAGAGCCCGACCGCTCCGCGGTGCCCAAGCCACGGCCCCGTGGGGAGACCGGGGGGTGCTCAGACCATCCTCACTCCGCTTCGGGACGGCCCTCACCAGTCGTCTTCAGAAGGGCAGTGGAAGGAATCTGGAACATTCTAGGGGCCGGTTAGAGGCTTTGTATGATGCCTGACAAATAGCAAGGCTGCTGGGACCCCTTGCAGTCTTGGGGTTTTTGCCCAGCCACACGCAGCTCCCCAAGGTTGGTCAGTGCACGGGGAGAAGGTGCACCCCGCAGAATATTCTTCAGGCGCCTCTGACCCCGCCCTCTGCTTTGCTGGGCGGCCTCCCCCTGTGGTGCTGGCCCTCAGGATCTGCCGAGGCTGCCCCTTTTCCCACCAGTGATGCCCACTCTCCCTCTGCACCCTGAGACCCCCCACCCCAGCCGGGGCTGCTGCTCTGACCCCATCCAGCTGTCTCTCCGAGCCCGGCTGCCCTTTCATGGGCTGGGTGCAGAGGCTGGATCCACTTGGAAAGTCGGGGGCCTCGGGTGCTGCCTCCTAGTTCCGGGGGGCTGACTCCAGCTAAGTGGCTAGACTGAGCTCCTTCCCTGTGCCATGCCGAGGTGGGCGCTGAAGGTCAGAAGCAGGTCTGCCGCCAGGTGGGTGAGGGCTAAGGAGATGCAGACACGGCCGGGGCAGCGGCCAGGGTGACCCGGCCGGACCGAGGGGTGCCATGAGGGGCCCGCCTCCTTCCTCGGGGCCCGGCTGGGTGCCAGAGGGGCTGGGGGCTGCAGACTCGAAGCTGACAGGAAGCGCTGGGCCATTTCCTGTCTGGGCAGCTCGCGCTCGGGGAGAGGCGTGGGGTGATGGGTGTCGTGGGCATTTTCACCGTAACGTGGGCGCTTCTGCCCCCACCTCCAGGGTGGGAGAGGGCTGGCAATCGGGCGCTATCGGTGCTTTCTCCTGGCAAGCCTGAATCGCCTCAGCGGCGAGGGGCAGCGCTGGCGGGCCTGGCTCTGCACTTGCGAGGCGGCTGGGAGGCAGCTTTTGCTGTTGGCCCGCTGGACACAGGAGGCGGCGGGGGCTCGGGACCGCGTGGTGCCGACAGACCCAGGACGCTGGCCGGGCTGGCCTGGAAGCTCAGGACGCAGCCGCTGGACAGGTCAGCCAGGGAAAAGGAGCCCAGCAGTGGGCCGGGCCTGGCGCAGGCAGCTGGGCGGCAGCCCCAGACGACCCCCTCAGATCTTCTCGACATAGTTCCCCGGGAAGAGGCCCTCCTGGCCGTGCAGCCGGCCCTTCCACCAGCCCGAGGGATCTGTGGGGAGAGGC